CGCCGCCGGGCCTGTCTACCTCTGTGGACCACCGCTGGGCCTGAATGTCTCTGCCTGCTGCCGCCGGGCCTGAATATCTCTGTCGGCTGCCGCCGCTGGGCCCGTCTACCTCAGCGGGCTGCTGCTGGGCCCGTCTACCCCCGCGGGCCGCCGCCACAGGCCTACCTTCGTCTGCTTGTCTCTGCCGCCGGGCCTGTCTACCTCTGTGGGCCGCTGCTGGGCCTGAATGTCTCTGCCGGCTGCCTCCGGGCCTGAATAAGTATTTTGTTTTGAAAATCAATTTTATTAGCTTGAGCCTGGTTAGTTCACTCAAGGGAAACCATTTAGCTAGCTGGTAACAAACAGAGCCCTGATCTTTCTAAGTTCAAAGTGCTTTCCTTTATTCTGTGAGGTTTAACTAGATGCTATATATCACAGAATTTCTTTGGGTAATGGGATGGACTTATTGTTGCTCCATGAGTTGATTTGATTAGATCTCACTATATTTCCTGTATTTCAAGGACACTGTTCTGTATCATAGGCAAGTCATAGCAACTAAGATTTTGGAAATTATCTCAAGGTTAACTGAGAAAGAGTTAAAAATCTGTAATTAGCTTAAATTGTTACATTGGATTTTTATTTGCATCATTATGAAGTAGGGGGGCTCAGAAAAATATAGAATTTAGAAATACAAATTTAGGGGACAAACTGCCAATGTACTCTTGTAATTAAGAACACAATTATTTCACAGGAAACAATGTGTTTGAAGGAAAGCTAGTCTTATTGAAATATTTCTTATTCTCTAAGACCAGCTACTGGTTTTGATGTTGCTTTGGCATGCCTGACATACCTGGAAAAAAAATCATGTATTTGCTACTGAGAATTTTCTTCTTAAATACCACTCTATACAAATAATATAACTTTAGCTACACTATCAAATTCTTTGCCATAAAAACAAAACAACCCCCCCCCAAAAAACCAAAAAATGTTTGAATAGCTATCCAATTATGCACTAATTTTTTCCCTTCCTGTAGAAGAGGGGATGGGGTGATTACTCAAGAAAATTTGTCTCCAGTTACTTTTGTCCTTCTTCCTTATTTTATTATCTAGTCACTTCATTTCTCTAGAATGTTTCCCCAATTTTGAGAGGATAGCACTTGACAAAGGAAAGTAGATCCAAGGAGGGATGTCCTTAAACATCCATGTTCTCAGTAGTCCCCATTTCTCTATTACACACTGCTTATGGAAACAGAAAAGAGGGGGAAGGTGTTTGAAAAAGAGTCTGATAGCATTTCAAGTCTCAGAGATGAATGGAAGACTGAAGACGAAAGAAATAATGGACATCGTTAGAATTAACAGTACTAAGGAGTGCCAAACTGTTCAGACTGGTTTCTAATTAAGTGGTTAAAAAGAATATCTGTCTAATCAGCTCTAGGATTTCTGTGGGAATTTTAAGACCAGGCAAGGCTTCTAGCACTCTTGAAGCAGAAGCAGGAAAATTGCAGCAAGTTAAAGAACAGCTAAGCCATGATAGTGGGTTTCATGACAGAATGGGCTATACAGTGAGACCCTGAACAATAAAAGAAAACAGAACGATATGAATTATAATGGAAAACACCACAACAAAATTGGTGATTAAATGGTGTGGAATATACTTTTCCCCCCCCCTGAAACAGTGTCTTACCATATATTTTATATAAAGCTCAGGCTGGCTTGAAACATACTTGTAGTCCAAGTAGCAATGGAACTAGAGATCTTTATGCCCCAGCCTCCCTGGGGCTTGGAGTACAGGCATACATCACTATATATAGTTTCATTAAAACACTTCTAGACACAGTTTCAGGGAAGTAATCAGCCACAGTGTCATGATGGCAGTGAAGTAGCTACAGTGACATAATAGTTGTCGCCATAGCAACAGGAATAATCTGACAGTACATAGGAAGTGTCTGTTCCTAGCCACTGGCTGAACAGACATAAGAGCAAATAGGCTCTAGAAGCCGCACCTGTCTTGAGATCTGCCCTATGGCAGAGCTGAGAACCATATAATCTGGAACGGTTATTTCAGTGGACAATGGGCCTGGTCAGGTAGAGTTTCAACATTTGATTATAACATCTTTATGTTTTTGGTTCCAAGCAGTGGTTCACATTAAGATTCTGATTGGGGAACTTGAACTTGGGCTTTGGGTATACGTAGAATTCCTGTTTGACATGTTCCCTCCACTGCCTAGTGCCATCTGCCTGCAGAATCTGAATCCATCAGAGCAGCTCTGACTGCTGGATCCCCAGACAAGGCTGTGGATTTGGGTATTAGTACGGGGCTGAAAGTTAAGCACCCGAGAGATCAGTTGCTGAATGATGACAGATGTTCCTCTCCCTTTAAAACCCTTTTCAGGAAAAGGAGAAGAGATGACAAGGAGGAAGACACCCACCTTCCCCGTCATTCGAAGAGGAATAAGAAGGACCAGGCCCAGGACCCGCGTGCTATAGAGGTAGGAACTATGGCCACCCAGCTTCTCCACTTGACTCCTTGCCCGCTCTGTGGTCTTCATTTCCATCTCCATGAGACTAGAGAACCCTCCCAGATGTCCTCGGGAAGTCTTCTCCTTGGCTGCAATGGCTTTGAGGCAGAGGAGGATTTTCAGTATTGACAGAATCGTGATTTCACTGTGCATCACAACAGAGACAGGGCTGTCAGAGAGGCTTTCCTAGGCACAACCAGGAGGAATGGGGTTCCAGAAATTCCTCCACCTTGCAAATGAGGAGGGAGACTCGAACCCCTTCTGCAGTTAGGATAGAAATAAACTGCAAGAACAGAGAGGCATGCTACTAGCTACACTGCTTTCTTGCTTTCTCCCTGAAAAACCTAAGAGCCAAGTGGGGGTTGTGTGAAGGGATTTGGGAAAGCTTTAGTGATGCTTGTGCTGAAGAGCTGGCATTTCAACCTCAACAGACTTCACTTTAACAACCAGTAAGTGGTAATGCAGCATGGTTTGAATGGAAGCATAACTTAGTGAGGAGGGAGCATTGTAAAGGGTTGCTGGACAAGTCTCATCAGGTAATGAGTAAGTATGGCTCAATTTTTCCTTTCCCGAACAAGAGATAAAAGGCCTATCAACAGGTGCCTTCCTCTGGGACACAAACACAGGTAGGTTTTGGATAAAATGTACCCAGACTTACCCTAGTCAAGCAAGGAGTGTTCTTGACCCACTGAGTTTTCTGTTGCATACAGTCACCTAAATATGAATACTGGCCTTTGTTTCCAGGTTAGCATCCTTAGACCTCCATGTGTAAATCTGCTCCCTGGAACAAAGGTATGAGACATGGTAGTGCAGACATAAGACAGAAAGCTTTGGTACATGTCTGTCTTCCTGATAAAGAACAATGGCTTCACAGTGTTTTCCTGATGGCTGAGTAAAAGAAGAAATGGACAGTGTGGATCATTAGTACAGATGCCAGACCTTCACTCTGCTATTGATCACATGGGAACTGATGCTTAAGTTCCAAGGAAAAGAGCAGTTAAGACAAATGGGAAAAATGCATTAAGGGCCTCTCACCTATTCTGGTTAGACTTCTGAGCATCCTTGATTTTCCCCAACTGTTGGGACTACAGCTCTTAGTGATACCACTGTTTTATGCAGGGTGAGTTAGGTGTCTGCTGGAATGTTTGGTAGCCTCTTACATTTCTTTCTGGTGTTAGCAGTTTGTGGTCCATGCTGGTTAGTTTAACTACCAGCCTCACAGGACATGGAACCACCTGAGAGGAGCATCTCTTTTTAATACTCTTCTGTATTCTTTGAAAGGTCATGCATGGATATGATATTTCTTGATCATCTTCACCTACAATCTCTCCCTGCAGCTCTACCCTGGACTCCCCCAACCAATATTGGTCTAAATGTCAGAGCCTCCTTTTCACTGTGTGTGCATGTACCTGTTTAACCCACTCTGTCCAGCTAGTGCTTCTGAAGTGTACAGAGCCTTGGGGTGATCCACTGAGTCCAAGGTAACTGACCAGGGGCCATCTACCAAGAGAGAAGTGACTCTTACTTTTCCAGCAGCCATCAGTGGCCAATAGCTCCTTAGCTGGAGGTACAGCCACAACAGCACCTCCCAGGGGATTAACCTGGCTTCATCATGTTCAGATCTTGTGCAGATAACCACAGCTACCATGGGTTCCCATGTGCAAGAGCCATACCATAACCAAGGGACAGTGTTTCACAGCACTCCTTCCTGTAATCTGGCCCTTACATTCCTTCTGCCTCCTCATCTGCAATATTCCCTGAGCCCAATGGCAGGGGCAGGTGGCTGTAGATGTCCTATCTGTGGCTCAGCACTCATAGCTGCTTAGTGTCAGCACTTTGAACAGTTATGTGTTTCCACATTGACCACTACTCATTGCAACAAGAAGCTTCTGAAACCAGTGTTGAGAGCAGTGCAGACCTATGCATGCAAACATAAATATTCAGAAGGCAGTTTAACAACATAGCCATTTAGCAGATCAACAGTAAGTCCACCCCCAGCACTTTGGAGGAACTGTGGGCTCACTAATAATAGGTTTTGACTATGTTTACAGTGCCAGGCATACACTCACTCATGTGGAGCAGGCCTCAGATCCAATCAGGAGAAGAATTGGTTAGCCCCAGGCACAGAATTGCAACTATTCCACCAGTGGATGCATCATGCCTGGCGGGCCAGTATTATACCATACAGGGTCCAGCAATGGGTAAGATCACTTATGTCTTTTCCCTCATGACAGCCAGCATATATACCTTCTCGGGACTATGGACGCTGGCCAGCTGGGAGAGTTTCTTGGTGAATTCAAGACTGATTTCCCTGTGACCTGTAACAGAAGTGTATAGTGTTTTGGCTACAGGGTCCTACCATCTTGTTCTGTTGGGCAACCAGGAGCAATGGCAATAGCCTTCATTATTTGGTCACCTCTGAGGCTGGCCAGACAATAGGGAGGTAATTTATGTGCCATGCGGAGATTTTACTTAATGACCTTCGGCTTTTGGGAATACCATTGTTCATCCACATGCAGTATCCTTGTTCAGAATAGCATGCATGGGGGCTGGAGAGATGGCTCAGTCATTAGTATTGTCTGCTCTTCCAGGAGACCTGGGATCATTCCCAGATCTACATGGCACATCTGTCTGTAACTCAAGTTCCAGGAGATCTGACACCTTCACAGACATACATGCAGGCAAAACACCAATACACATAGGATAAACGAATCATTAAAAAATAGTATGTATGAGCTCATTTACCATCTAGTGTATCTCCATAAAGCTTGTTCATACATCCTTAGTTTTCCTTAGCATGTCCACATCCTGCCTTCTAATCTCCACTCCTTTCCCCTATTCTCACTTAAACTTTAACCCCTCCTATTCCCCTCACATTCTTTCATATCACATGCCTTCCACAACCTCCTCTTGTTACATATATTTTACCTGGGGTCTAAGGCCATGGGTTCTCATGTAGCTTCTCTCTGCACACTTCATTTTGGTTAGCCCTTACCCCAACCCCTGCTTTTCCCATTCCCATCACTCCAGAAACTACAAGAGCCCTTCAAACTCTAGGATTTCTGCTCTCTCCATTCATTTTGCAAGTATTCTGCTATTTCCCGTCTCTGCAAGCAGACGTCCCCCAATGCAATGGCCTGTTTCTAGTTTCTTGGGTTCAAAATGGACACCACGATAAGCACACAAAACAAAATATTCGAAGCCTGGACCCACATAGGAGTGAAAAGATGTGGTATTTTTCCTTTTGGGGATTGGGTGACCTTACTCAGTCTAATTTTTTCCAAGGTTGTTCGTTGACTTTCATATAGTCCTCCTGAGGAATTATTTCAATCAGTTTGGGGTGCGTGTGTGGGGTATGTCTTGATTGTTGGTGAATGTAGAGTCAACCCATTGTAGGTGGTGCCACTCCCTGGGCAAGGCACCCAGAATGTATAGGAGAAAAGGAAAGCCAGGTATAAGCAAACAATCAAGCAAGCAAGGATCCCTGTGCTTTCTCTCTCTGCTCTTGACTGGAGGTGAGATGCTGCTCTTAAATTCCTGCTTTGACTTCCCTGAAGTAAGGGATGAAAGCCTGGATCTGTAAGTCAAAGAAAAACTTTCCACCCTGAGTTGCTGTGGGTCAGGGTGTTTTATCACAGCAACAGAAATGAACTGAGTAGGGGCCATTTACATCGCTCTTGATTTCTTTGTATGATCTGGAAGACAGAACATTAGAGGGTTCTGAGTCTCTAATTGAGCCAAAGAGATGTCATTAGTTGTGTTGTCAAAGCCTAAGCAAAGTGGGTATCCCTGAAATGACCTTCTTGCAAGATACATTCATTGAATGGGTGTGCATGGGGTGGGAGAGCCTGGCCATTGATGGCCCAAAAGCTTGTAGACACTTTAAGAACCCTTGTCCATGGAGCATGCCCAAGTATGGCAAGAACTCTCATGTGCAAGTTCACGTTAGAAGCTGAGTTGTGGATTGAAGATAATCATGTCCACGTGTTTTCTGCAGGTGAGGCTTTCCTAGTCATCTCTTGTTTGCTTTGTTGCAATCCATTCCCTTCTTTCACACAGATGAGGTGAAATAGCTTGTATCAGAGGTTGAATTTTTCATTTGAAATACAGCTTAGAACTCAAGGTCTGGCCCAATTTTACCTTCTGATCTTCAGAGAGCCTGGATTAGACTACCTGCCCACAGAACTTCGGACATGAACGTCCTTCATTCCCTTACTCATTAACAGAGTAGCAGTGATTCTACAGTCTTCTGACTCAAGAGAGTGTGCATCCTTCTGGAGGGATCAGAGAAGGTCGGCCGCCAGTGCAAATGTGAGGAGCCTCGGGAGTTCTAGTCTAAAGACTTCAGTGGGCATGGTTGGGCTTGTCAGTTTCAGTTGTAAAAAACAGCATCTAATTCCGGAGGTGCAGTAGGTTTAAGGGTGAATTTTGTTACACTATTGGGGTTCAGAAACAAATGTCTCTCAGGTATACAGGAATGGAATTGCACAGAGAGCTGGGGTTGAAGGTAGAAAGATCTTGGATTCACTTGCTTTTCACTTAGGAAGCATTTTCCAGTTCTATATCATGAATACACGTGGATTTCCATTCAGTGTTTGTGATGCTGTTCCATGATCACATTGTTCCTATGGCTTCCGTTTCCATTTTCCCGTCATTTGTATCATTAGCCAATTGAAGGTCTCTTTCCACCTCCTGCAGAGCCTGGAGACCTGACATCCTCCTTCCAGGTGCTGTCTTCCTTCTCTCCTGTGATTCTAAGCTGCTGTCTGCATCCCTGCCACCATTTCTCTGGCAGTTCCTTTTCTACAGCTGCTCACTGCACCCTACTTTCTGCAGCTGCCCCTTCCTTGGCCATTGATTACACTGGAGAACTCAACCTGGGGAGCATGCTAAACTCAATCCCGGGAATGTATGTTTACCCAGCCAGGAGTCCTCTGCAGTGGCTGGGATGTTCTTGTGTGTATGTACAG